ATGTATTGTGAGAAATGTCGAGATCAGAGCAAATAGCGTTATATTGACTGCACATTCGGGAGATTGGATTGTTCTGTGATACATTATTGTTGCTACTAGGTACTGAGAACAGCTGTGGTATACGTACGGATCGTGTCGGTATCTTAAAGTATAGGAACCCAATAAGTCAATATATGCATGCATAAATCGTAATAGGAAATGATAGTCTGGCTATCGAGTATGGAATGAGAAAGTAAATTGCATGAACGATATGAAAGACGTGTCATGCAGTGCAGTAAGGAGCAAAAGAGAAGATGTGTGTCTTCAGTTTTGAAACATGCCTAAGCATACTTCACTATTTTTATTTCCTACAATTTAGTATGGAAAGGTATAATAGTTTTCGTTGATAAGGAGAGTTGTTATTTTGAGGAATAGAATAGTGGGAGCTAGATCATCAAACAAAGGAGGAAACTTTTTAAGTTATTTTCTAGAGTTATTTCAACATAATTGTATTTATAAATGCCAAACACAAGGCGGTTTCGTAAGTTACGCAGGCATTCTATTTTGTCTTCGTATGTATAAATAGGTAAAGTAAAAACTATTCAGTAACCTTTTCTCTCTGTCTTTTTACAAAACAGATTTAGTGTTACAAGTATATTTTACTACCTCTGACGGAACATTAACTTCATCAATTTTGAATTACGGTTGAATTTCGAGCTCTGGGCGATCACTACGCTAATATTTTTACAACAACAATGACTGCATAAACCCCATTCCTTGAGATTGAACATACTTGAAGACGCACCTATGTTATCAAGATCTAATATTACTTATTAAGCGATTACAGCAGTTGAAAGCTAGACAAGAATGTCCTATTTTATGTAGTTAGTACCAATAATCTCGTTAATACTTCCAAATATAGGTGTTGGCGCTTGTATTACGCATTTAAGCAACCAGCTTCAATTAGAAATGTATTTTTCCATCGTGGTGCAAGACACAAATCAAATGTATATTTGAGGATCGCTTTTAATAATTCTATTCAACTCACTTATGTACTTTAACTTACGTATTTTGTTTATTTTATTTAATACTTTGGACCTAGTCAACAACAACTTGGCATAGCAACTTAACCAATCTATCTGACTAAATTATCAATTCAAGTATGATACTATCAGTTTTCTTGTCATATGTTTTGTTCGCTTAAACATCTTCTGTTTTAAATTTGTTACAATTATACTTATTAGGTGCTTGCTAATAAAATCCTTAAAAAACTTACCACAATTTTTGTGTTAGAGTAAAACGTAAGTATGTATGTAAAAATGGTGATATAATATTAAAATAAGAAGATAGCGTTCAAATCGAAGTTTAACTAGATTTTATATATTTTTCAGATCTACTAACATTATCCCCTTTTCAGACGCAGGCACTTTGCGCTACCAAGTGGGCTATCCGATAATAACAAAGTTTTTTACAGATAACGCAAATTTAATACTAAAAACTTATGTTTATCTTTAAGTAAGGCTTATTTAAACCGGTTTGGTTGGCAAGTTGAAATGTGTGTTCGGTCTAATTACGGAAATTATGTTGTGTGTTGGAATTTATGTTTATGAGTTTATTAGAAATTACTGGATTTCATGAACCATCACTGTTCGTTAAGCAGGAAGAGGCTTCAAAGGTCAAGGTCGGGCCCTCTTTGATGAATGGTATAATAATACCTACATTAATTAGCAATCTAGCGTGAATACACCGTATGGGGCGGGGCACGTTGCAAATAATTGTTTATTCTAGATATAATTATTGCTTACTAGCTTTGGCCGCGGCTCCGTCCGCGTGTATGTCGGTTGTAGCGGTAAAAAGTCTAAGCCTAAGTACTTTCACAATCAAATTATCTCCACGGCGAATTTCTTAAGAATCGGTTCAGCGGTTTAGTCGTGAAAGCAAAACAGACAGACAGACAGACAGAGTTACTTTCGCATTTATAATATTAGTAGGGATTATTGGATTTCTTGCTACATTTCTTACATTATCTAAATATATCGTACGTTTTAAATTCTGTATGGTATGGTATTGATATGTTTTCGATAAATTATTATTTATTTACATACATGCGAGTACATACAATTTAAGCAAATACTTGCCACTTATGTAAAAATGATCGTTGAACGTCAGAACAGGTTATTAATTAAATTCAAACAGAGAGCCACCGCAATCAGCTTTTTACAAAAAAAGAACTGATGCTAAGTGACTACCGCTTAAGAGACACAAGTAGTTACGTTGTACTCCCCTCACAAATGGAGCATCCAGTAAACCCACTCACTTAATGAAAATCAGGGAAAGATATGCTTAACACCTATGAGTATTCTATGATATGATTGTGTATTATTTTATATGATATTTATTATATTATGATATTTTTCTGATATTTATTATATTTATCTGATATTTATGATTCTATCCTATGAGTATTCATATGTGGCGAAGCCTGGCTCTCACACACTTTTTTTTTAATATTTCGGACATCTAATACACATCGTCATCTAGTTTCAAACAAAGCAGAGCTTGTACTATGAAAGCTAGATTCACTGATAGAATACTTAAACACTTATTTTTGTAAATACATACATATTATACATAGAAAATAACCGGTCAGGTACGAGTCGAACTCGTGCGCCGAGGGTTCCGTACCTACCCAGATTTTACGAAGATTTTCGCGAAAATTTGTAAGTACCAAAATTTATCTTCATTTTTAACAAATAAAGGAATAATTCCATTATTCCTTTATTTGTGCTGTGAGACGTTGCTTTTTGCCAAATTTCGTGATTCTAGGGCTACGGGAACTACCATATAGGTTTTCAACCCAAAACCTATAGGGTACTTCCGGTTGACCTAGAATTGTAAGTTTTGGTTAAAAGCAAGGCCTTACAGCATAAGTAAAGAGAAAATTCTGAAAAATAAAAAAAGTTAAATATTAAGGTAAACTTTGGCACCTACAAGTTTTCGCGAAAATCGAAATTTGCTCATATCTTTTTATCGTGTTGACTCAGGACCTTGATTTTTATACACCTAATGGAGACCATAGACCTCAGTATCTGGTATAAATTTCAACTTGCTAGGTCTACCCGTTCCTGAGAAAATCGGTGGTGACACACGGACAGACGGACAAGAAAGTGATCTTATAAGGGTTCCTTTTTTACCTTTTGAGGTACGGAACCCTAAAAACACATTAACTTCGAAACAAATATTTGCAGATAATACAAAAACGTTTGGTCCGACCCGGGAAACGAACCCGAGACCTCAGCACAGCAGTCGCGTACGCTACCACTGCAAAACCGAGGCAGTGGTCTCTAATTAAACTTGGTGTCAAAACTAAATAGACAGTATTTTTTTAATTTGGGTGGAGGAAGTCATTTACCATCAGGTGACCCATCTGCTTTAACCTCTCCTGTCACAAAACTTTAGATAATTGTAAAATGATTGTGAAACTGTATATTACCTTAGCACAGAAGTTTGAAATAGATTAAGCTCTTACACATTATATAAAACAATGTTTGCTACACAAAATATACTAGAAATAGTGTATTTGGGCAAGGGATTCAAAATCTAATGGTTTTTAGATGCCAGATAAAATCACCTTCACTAATAAGGAGTCCCAATAGGCATCAATTACTATATATGTATGTATTTATGATATGAGCTAAGTGTTTAATACTATTTCTAATATCCAGGTAATATAAATAATGACAAGATCAAGTCAGAATCATCATTATCAACAAGCTTTAACAGTCCACTGATGAACATAGGGTTCGCTTTAGAAATTAGGTTTTTGCCTACTATACCAAGCTGGCTAGAAGGGTTGGTATAGGGTTTTTTTAAGTATTGTTTCTCTTTAAAGTGCTGTTGTCCTGCATAGTTTGCTCCTATAGTCGGCTTTTACGACACCCACGGGATGAATAGATTCTATGGAAGGATTGATTAATATGGAGTAATAATATGGAGAAAAAGTGATTAATATGGAGTTATGAATCAAATTATGGTGTTATGGTGAAATGAATATCGAAATCCATATGTGAATTTCCATATTAATTGTTAACCTTTAAATCAAATTCACTTTCGCATTTATTATACTTAATAAGTTTAAGTATTGCATACTGTGAGGTATTCTCCATTATTAGGTAGCAGTAGAGACAGTTGCATTATGTTTAATTAAACCTTGCATAATACAGAAATATAAAACATGTAAAAAAAATTTAAAAATTTACAGCCATATTAAGGGAGTCTAAGTTTAAAGATGTCTGATTACTGTACTGGTGACCAAACTGGTCCATAAAAAAATTTGTACTAATTTTAGTCAGCCTTACACTTTACTTTTTGCCATGCAATTAATAGTAAATTGAAGACTTTACTTTTACAGTCACCTGTTTAAATATAGACAGTTTATAAAACAATCATATTTTCGTGATGAGTAAACTGTTTTACTAAAAAGAAAGGCAATTTTTTTTTCGCCATGGGTTCTAATGGGAAGATGGCATATAGGACTGCTTGGATTCAAGCTAACTAAAACCAGGCTCTCTTGATATCAATTCATATCAATAATGAGATTTTTGAGCTATAGTTAAAGAATTAATATGAATATTTTTCAGTTCAATAATCAAAACAGGAGCAGATCATTGAGCTAATAGTAGCACCAAATGAGTGACCCAAATATTTGTTTAATTCCGTCTATTTAGACGGAACTAACTTTTATTCACTTGTAAGTAGTGGAATTTTAAGAAGCTTGTTAAAAAATATGATATGAATCACTTATTACACTTTTATACAACTTATTTACTTTGTACCCTATATTAGCTTAATTACACTTAAATATAATTTAATAAAATTTAGTTTATTCTATTTATTTAGTTTACAAATAGCAAAAAATCTAAATTGATATAATAAATTTGTATTCTAATAATGAACTGATTTTTGAGCCAATAAAAAAATGCTGGTTATAAATGTATGCTACAAAGTAAGTCTAAACTCACCTCCGGGCTAAATGGAGCCTTTCCTGAGTTGTAAGGTGTTCCACCTGTGACATCTCCGACACCAAGTCGGCATGCTCCATTTTGTCTTTTATCTGTAAGTTGTATTTTTATTTACTTTACATCTACAACCAGTTAATAAATCAAACTTAACAAATTATTCCTTTAAATAACTTCAGAATTCACAAAATTGCTTTCTAAAACATTTAGTTTGTAAGTACTATTATTATTTACAAAGAACAGTATGCTGCTCATGTTATCATTATCAAGAAGATATGTGTGGAATTACCACTTGATTTTTCAGTATCATTGTATTGTGTTTGTTTGTAAATAAAGTTTCAACCTAAACTTCAGTTGTTTAATTGCTTATTATCTTCGTAAAATTACTAACATAGACTCACAAAAGGTAACACATTTTATTAGAAAAAAATAACAAGTAAAGAAAACGTATGTACTTAACGTTATAAGAACTTATTGATAACCAACAAGTGTGATAAGATAACAGCCCTCTAACATGAACATTTCTATATTTTCGATTGGGATGATCTTTTAATCAAAGTAATCAGACTTTATTATTATCTATAAATGAACTTGGAATATAAACTATTTGAATATACCTCTTCATTCAAAAATTTCAATTTAAAAACAAAGTGACAGTTTAGAAAGGCCCTTAGTATCTAAAATATTTAACATTTATGGAAGTTATGATAATCTTGTACACAACAACTTTTGCCGGAGAAACCATACACAACATATATTTATTAAAAAAAAAATTCACGCCACTTACCGCTGTTCTAGTTTAATACAAAGCACAAGTATGTTTCATTCTTTTATTGATGTATTTGCCACACATGTTGAACAGATTAATGTTAGAGAAAACACATATATATATCGATTATTGAAACTAATTGACACCCATTGTAACATAAAAATATACAGTTACATTATATTTTCCGTTAGTTTTCATGAAAATTAGAAACAGGGAGAAAAATCACAAGACGGCTAGCGAACGAGCGGATGGTTTTGCTTTTTTGTGATTTGCTGACTTAAACACTTTGATTTGAATACTTGGCTTTTGGTAACTATTCATTTTTTTCAACATTATTAATATTCCTTTATTGTTGTCTTTATAAAAAAACTATTTAAATCATAAATTTGGTCAGTTAATTAATTAGTTAGTCAGTTAATTAACTAAAAAAAACATTAATTAATTAATGTTTTTTTTAGTTTTTACATTAATTAATTAGAACGTACAGTAGAATACTTTTCTAAGTTACCGATATCAAAATACCTTGTGTGGGCGGGAATTTTAAAATTATAGAAACCCGATGTTATCTAACACTATACTTGCCACGCTATACTTAACGCTTTTCCAACGACCTCCTTCAAATAAACATCGTAACAATTTATTTTAATTAATTAATTAATAATTCATTGTTACACTTTTACAACAGTTTTACTGGGCGAAAATACATTTATTTAAGAAGTATTGAGCATGACTCAAGTAAAATTAGTTTAACCCCTTCTTGAAGGTAGTACAGCTAATTAACACATAACTTCTGGGGTTATTTTGCTTACATGGGATTATTTAATTTAAGTCATCATCGCTCAACGTAGATACGTTATTATTTAACTAGTAGGTACTCTTACGAAATGGGATGATGGTGTCTCTCTAAGGATTAAAAAGATTATGTGAAGGTTTTAAAGCTCCATATAAATCGATTCGTTTTCAACTGAATTACATGATACATGATGCTTCAAGCTTGCTCTCATATTACTTAATAATCTAATATTACAGGCCCTATTTAACACTGAATTAGATTTTGAAAGAAATTATACCTAGGTAGGTGCAGAAACAGACAACTTCAACTAGGTAACGAATATAGACCAGTACTGGCATTAGGCATAATGACCTAGTGGGCTTGTGTATTAAAGTATAAGTGAATAAATACATATTGAACGTGTTTGGTAAAGAAACGAAACTAGGGGTTATGTAAAAAAACAGCTATAAACTCGTAAATGTGAATTTTATTTAGTTTTCATATTACCAATTTTACTACAACTTATAATACAAGTATAATAATAATTTAAGTACAAAAGAAACTGTATTCAATCTATGAGCGCTCTTGAATAGTTCTTGGCTAGGCACTATTATTTTTATCAATTGACACACCAGTTTTTCATTTACACTAAGCTTGCTACAATTATAATAAATTGAGATAAACATATTGTTTCATATAGAATTAAATTAAGATTCAGTAAAACCTGGGAACAAGTCATGGCTTCATGAATTTTACTAATGTATCTATATACTTCCTACTTAACCACACAGGTACTTAGAACCCTAGAATAAAGAAGGCACCACAAATAATATTTGTAGTTTAGGAAAGCAAAATAAAGGGTTTAAGAAAAGAGTTTCACAATTGTGGGGGGATTAAAAAACTCTATCTATATCTTATTTTATTGTGTGTATTGTTTTATTGTGAAGTTGAATCCGAGGCCTAACTCAACAGGCTTGTAGTAACCACTAAAGAGTTTAATTATCATCATTCTGGCTCAGTAATTTCACATCCACGATGCCAAATTCTAGTATTGTCAATGGATACAATAATTAGAAGTAAATTAAATTGACTTCCAAGACTTGTATAAATTGTTATAGTATGAAAAATTAAAGCGTGATAAATAGTAGAAGTAATTGTTTATGCCATTTTTAGGTAAAATAAAGTTTATTGTGGTATTTTGTGTGTTAATATTAAATGTTGCTAATATAAAATATGGTAGGCGTTAACAAACACCAGCCCTACTGGTCGATTGAAGATTAAAGACGACCAATTTCGTAGGAACCCAACAGGCCATGCCTACGTTGTCTTCGGACTTAAACCGACGTCTTGGTTAGAAAATAAAAACTGTTTATGCTTGTAATTTCTGTTGCCATGTTCTGAGGAAAAAATGAAATACCAAAAGTATTAGATTTGCAATTTTTGCTATGATACCATAGTCTAGGTAATACATTATACAGACATTTATGTATAATATAACGTACACTCGTTAATTTAAATAATTAAGAATAACAATACCTAATAAGATAGAAATAGGTATTACCTGAGGATAATCAATTATTTTTTACAATAATTGTAGTCAACGTTATTTCCTAGAGTCAAATTCGTTAAATATTTGAAAATTGGTCATAATAGCACTGACAGTTAGTATCTAAACAAATATTTCGAAGCAACGTAAATACAATAATTCGTTTTATTAATATCTACGTAGGTACTTTATAGAAAGTAGGTAGCAAAGTATTTCCTTTATTAACGATTAATCACAAAATTATGTAGGTATTTGTTCTAAAAATATATTTGAGTTCCTTTATGAATCGCATTTATGCATCATATTAATTTTACAAAGTATGATTTTAAATTTAGTAATAACTGGTTGTTGCAAAGCAACTTGAAACTTAAATAAATGTTGACGATTTGAAAATTTAACATGATTTTTGTTAATAACATAAATAGTAGGTAGGTGCGCCTAAAACTGTAATTATGCTTGTATAAGTTTGTTGGCAAGTATCTTTGCCAAAGCATAGAAGTTAAGTACTAGAAATGTTACATAGCTTTTAGCTACAAATCATCATAAATCATCATCACGCAATCAGAAGGCAAAATATTTGAGAGAAATCTTCTCCAAAATGCATGCGCTTTATATGTATGTTGTGTAAGTAAACTGTAATTTTGTTTTTTGATAAAATAAAGTAAAGTAAGTTAGTAAAGGATAAAGGGAGGCTTCCGTTAAATAGCGATTACCTCGATATAGCTTCGCACCATCGATATTTCACCCATAAACAAATATTTTGTTACACTAAGTGCGGTTTCTTTTTAGGTTCGAGTTCAATAATTTAATTTTTTGTTACATGGATGCTTGATAATAGTGTCTAACTAAAGATTAGCACTTATGAAGTCATTAACGATAAGGTTTATTTTAAACGTTATACTTTTATAAAATAAAATAGGTGCTTTAAACAAAAATGCATTGTTGGTCCCGTGTCATAAGGATGCGCTTATGTTTGTGTACTTACGATGTTACTAGGTACATTCTGGTACTAGGTACTAGGCCCAACTGTGTTTTAGGATTTTTAAGTTAAAAATATAGTCCAGGTAAGTGCTGGCAATAGGCTTGGCCTGCTGGGACCAAAGAAAATATTTACAGCAGGTGAAATGTTCATAACATTCATTGACATACAGTTACAGATTAAAATTGCAACAAATACAATAAAAATCCTTTACCTGATGCTATCGTCTAATCAGCAAGAAAGTAAAACAACATGTAGTTAGACAAATAAGTAGTTGCTTAATCATTGATTTATATTTGTATCTTACATATTTTTAGTCCATTAAGTATTTTAGCGTCATGAGATAAGGTAAGTATATTTAGTTTAGATTAAACAGAACTAATATGTTTTAAGATTAAGAGACCATGGTCCAACACCAAACTAAGGGGCCTCAGACCAAAACGATGGGTTGCGATATCAGGAGACAGGCAGGACATGCATGGTTGACAAAGGCCGCAGATAGAACGGCTTGAGAGATTTTGGGAGAGGCCTATGTACAGAAGTGCAACAGAAAAGGCTGAGGAAGGAGTACAAGAAGGATGATACTGTACAACCTAAACTAACTATTAATTAATGTTTATTTACTAGGTATAGTTGTTTCTTTTCATGCTTTTTAAAAGACAATAAATTAATGAGAAATACTTTCATTCAACGAAAGAAATGTAATTTTTAATGGGTCAATTAATATAATTGAAATTATTTCAGACCAATACCTGATAAACAGATCTTCTAATACATCTCGTCTTCGCGTCATATGTATTCATAAGTAAAAAACAGCATTTGAAAACTGTTTCTTACTTAAGGAGTGCTTGAAGCAACATCTCTTTTCTTGTGAGAGATGTTTCTGATTTGGCCATAGTCAGGCAAAGTTAAAAATATTTCAGTTTCACCACGTGCTCTCTACGATTGCTAGAAGGTGCAGTGCTAGATGAGAATAGCACGGCCCGTCCCGTTTGACTGGCAATTAGCTTTGTAGCTAAGAGAAAGAAGATATCAGTAAAATAATGAAGCGAGAATCTCTGACGACCAATGAGAGGGTCTGCGTAGTTGAAAATTTACAGACACATTGAATAATTTATTAACTTTATTGGTTATGGTCTGTTATGGTACACTATACTTTCAAAAAGTTTCAAAACATGCTTGAACTTGTATTTTCAAAACATCATTGATTTGACTTGTGTCTTCCTAAATCGCATTTTAAACAGGTGTTTATTCAAAATTTGGACTATGTATAAAAATACCTTTATGTAGAAAACACGCCCCAAAAGCGAAAACATTGCCTACTATTACCAGTTATTTATAATCATCCCGTCCCTAATGACACCAATGATTAAGTTATTAAAAAATAATATGGTAAATGTAGTGTTTTTAATTTTAATTTTTTTTCCTAACATCTTGTTAAATTTAATGATTCTATTGGAAATGGTCAATTGGAAATAACCGGTTTTGATGCACCAATCGTGGAACAAACGTCCACGTTTAAAGCTTTTAGCCAACGATTTTCTACAAAATACACTTTTATTGATTTTAAGACAAATACTTTAAAATTACTTAGATACTATTAAGATTCGAACAATCTAAAATAGGGCTACATATTTCCCATGGCGTTAGAAATCTGGATCTGGACAAAACTAGGACAGCATGGCTCACTATTTTATTATAAGTAAATTAATGTACGATAAAATAAACTTATTGTTTACACATATTAATTCAATTTCTATCATACTACATTTTTTATTGTACTAAATAATTTCCATACCTCATTTTCTAAGTTAAAACAGTTATTTATCGTTAACAATCTAATAACAATTCAACATTTTGCGCTCACATTATGATTAACACGTCTTTACATTTATTATACACATTGTTAATATGACCTCAAATTGCCAATGACATATTATTATTTAAAACTATAATGATGGGGTACTTTTAAAATATTATACGTCACGGCACGAAGTAATTCTGTGTAACATTAAAATGTCCCCATGTTCGATGGGACACTTTCATCACATACTCGTACATCGTAACGTACGTCATGGTACGTCATAATGATATGAAGACTATTTTCTTGTTTATGTCTTGAGATTTTTTAACTGTAATATTACGGACACAAATACCTTTAATGTACAGAACGTTAGAGCTATCGTGTACCGTACCGTTACGTGGAAAATTGCAAAATAATCCATTAGGGTTTACTAATATCCCTTTTTGTGTTCGATTATCATTTTTTGTGTGATATTTATGTAATATTCTTTCCGTTCTTACCTTACTGTATCATAGTAAACCAATATTATCTAGCCAGTCCTTTTTTCTATATTTTTTGAAAATTCGAATAACAATTTCAATCTATAAATCAAATATATTTTACTTTTTCTTCTTTTCATTTATTTATTTTACATAATAAGTTCAACGTTAGAAAATAAAATGAAAGTCTAGAAAGGAAAATTCATTAATTGAGAGCTGTTTCCAGAATCATTAAATTACCAAAGTTCCAGTCCATTAGAGCAATAAGAAAAGTATTTAATTCTATCAGAACAGGAGATTTTCTGAAAGAGACTTAATTATGCCAATCAATGTCGAATTTATACTTAGTAGTGCATTTTTCAGGCTAGCTGCTACTGTTAGTGTTACGAAATTCCTATCATCTAGAAAATAGATCCCAAAACTTATTTACTCTACACAATGAACGTAATTGCTATCTACAAATCTAAATCACATCAAATTTCAATCTATGTATAAAATAATCTAGTGGTATTGTCATTGGCAAGAAGTAACGCCATCAAAATCGTTATATCTAAGCTTTAAATACAAATGATTAACTTACGGTAATGATCACTGAATGTGGTACATGATTTACAAAGAGCATACAAAAATACACCTCACAATAATACAAACTGACTTCCATTATGTGTTTACCTAAAGCATACATATGTTATGTGTTAACGCCATATTATTTGCTTGCTATTATATTAGGGGCTGTAAATTAAAGGCAAGTTATGTCATAGGTTTGTGACTATAATATTACTATTCGACTAATTCATCGCAGACTAGTCGTATCCCGTTACATGATACATTATTTACGAATATATGTACAAAATATTATATACATTATGTATAACTATATCAAAATAATTCAAAGCCCACAGACTTATTAAGCGATATACAACTATATAATACCGCACAATTTACTAGATATAAACATTTGTCGTGTGCGTATCGTGATTATTGACAAACAATATCAACGCACCTTATAATTATACTCGTAAAAGTGGCAACCATAAACAAAATGCATTTTACAAACACTTGATCAAATGCTGCGAAAGAACTCAGACGTGTCCGCTTTATAAATGTATTGTATTTCTGAATTAAAAAGGCTTTTTCCGGTGTAAAATGGTAATTTACTTGTTAGTGGAAATGGAAATGGGATTTTCACTTTATTTACACAGTTCGAGTTACATACTTTTCGATCTTACACATTGCAATCCCTATGAATACGTTCCCATTTCCATACACTTCCATTTTTCCCATCTTCAATACCCAAAGAGCTCGGTTGCCGCCGATAGGCTAGTTCTCATTACATATGAGGGACCAAAGAGAAAGAGAGCTTTTACGTTCATCTTTCTTTTCATCTTTATGTGTGCTTCTACGAGTATAAGCACACATAACCTCTTACGTAATCTCCTCAATTCCCATCTTTAAAAATTATGTGTCATGGAACGCAAAAATTCAAAAGTTATTATCGCGTAAATTCAGGCGCCTACACAAAATCGACGCGCACACCAAAATGAAAATAGTCTTACGTTGGGGACAATTTTAATGTTTGTTTGATCAATGACAATTAATATTCGCTCATAGCTAAGAGTTTTAGCAGTAGTAGGAATTTGGGTTAGTTCGATTTAAGTGACATAAACATTATTGACTTTCGATTAGAATGTTATTTCGCAGCGACCACTGCTGCTATATATTATCACACTTTTAATAATAGAAATTACGAAGCCTTTAAATATTATTTTTCGTTATTATTTAGGATCAACCCGCAGCCTTACATTAAAATGATTTTTATACTTCAACGTTCAAATAACTTAATACTTAAACACCACAGTTTCACAGCACTTTTTAAAATATCCTTTTCTTTGAAGTTCGCAGTTTCATCAGTAATGATACCTTATTACTGCAAAGTCCTATATTTTAACAGTGGCAACCGATCGTGGTCACCACGGCGGGGCACTCAGGTGTTTTCGTCAGAAGAGTCATCAGACGATGAGCTGGTGTTAAGAGTTGAAGCCATAGTCAGCTGTCTAATGAAAGGTTCCCTCGGGAGGCTTTGTTGACCGAGAGGTAGACGTCTTATACCCATGCGTTCGCTCTCTGGTAAAGATTTGCTACATTTTTCTTCTGTTATGGCATCACGTGATAGAGATCTGAAAATAGAAGAATTAATATAGATAAAATATGACGTATTGTACACTTGAAGCAAATTGAATCTTATTATGAGATAAATCATTCTTAATTTAATTTAATAACCTTATCACATAGCCTCAGTGTTGTTAAGAAAAACACTGAGGCTATGTGACAAGAAGCAATGGAAAAAAGATGCGTGAAATAAAAAAAAAACTTTCAGAGTATTATAACAGTCACTGAAACTGTGCCGATTATAGGGTTAATATGTCAAATATAATTAATAACTCGAGAGGCCACTGAAAAAAGAATATTCGGTAAATTCTGAACAGTAAAATGATGAAAATGTAGTAAAATAGCAAAAATACCTGATTGATCGCAAAGAAAAACAAATCCTTGTAAGGTACCATAATTATTATCACAAGGATGACTAACTAAATTAATAAATTCTCTTTAGATGGATTGTAATTTTGAAAAAAAGTATCATTGATGTATATAAACAGTTTATATTGTGTTATTCTTTCGCTATTACATATATTGTACTTTAATAATAGTAGTGGACAATAAAGAGCAGATCAATGGAAGTCGAAAAAATTTTAAAATATGAAGAGTACAAACATATGATTAATTCAGTACACATACCCTGTCAGCTCCAACATAGAACCTCGCCGACATTGTCCTCTATGTGGTCCTTGCATGATACTGGCAGGTCGAGTTGACGCACCGAGAGGATCCGAGTGTGCAACGTCTTCCATCAGCAACACTGACGGTCCACCGAGGCTTGTACTTCGTTTGGAAAGCAGATTAGGACCTTGTCTTACAGCTATATCCTTGGATGTGCCTTCTCCCTTACTCCAACTGGTGGCTTCTGAATCAGACACCACCACAGTTTCCGGAGCACCTTGCGTAGAGCTGGAACTCTCTCTTCGGAAGAGACCTATGATAGATTTAGGATGTTTTGGCTTTTCTATGCCGCCTGTTGTTGGAAAGGTTTTAATGGAAGTGTTTGTACAGCGGAATGGATGGGAAAAAGACAAAAGAAGATGTCAGAAAAAATCTTTTGAAAATGGGTAAAGTAATGTTATAATACTAAAAGGTGCAGTGGATAGATGTATAATATTATCTAAGATTCGGCAGTACCAAATGTCAGAATCATCAAAAGCGACTCATCAAAATAAATTTAAATTTAAATATTTATTTTATCGTATTTTCTCTACTATCATTGTGCTCATGTGATTCACAAAAGGACACACAAAAAAACTATATAATTTATTGATAAATTTTGTGATGCAACAATAGTGCTTGTGAAAAAAATTCACAAAACGTGTACAAAAATCGAAATAGCAAACTCATTACCATCGAAATCTAAAGAAATATATTTATACCTCATATAACACTTAATGCAGCTATGTGTTAGAACAAGCTTCAAATTCCAAGAAAAAAACATGGCGTTCCCATTTGATCGATTAAAACATTTGACATGCTGCAACCCAATCATAGAAATATTCATAATAAAAAGGTTTAGTGTCTTATTATATAGATATGTGGCAGGACACCAAACCTTATTATGTAATAAAAATGCGTTTAAACATACAGTTTTACTCATTTCTGTGTTTAAAGGATGACTGACTAATTTCATACCCAACGTTTTCTGGTTGGTTTGTTTTTTTCACCCTTTTCAAAGTAGCTAGTCTTTTGGGTAGATGTCACGTGCTACAGTAGAGTGACATTTATACCAAAATAATCGCAGTTAAGCAGAATTCGGCTTTTGCAGTTGCTATGTAAGTTACAAAGTTGTTTATAACAGACACTCTGCTGTCGAACAGCCTATAAGTTTTTACAAGCAGAAGAGGTCATAAGACTAAAGTTTGAAGGTCCAATTGTCCAAAGGCAAAAGCCAGTCTGTCTACGTCACCAAATTGTTGCAGGCAGTGGCAATCAAGTGTGGCAAGTGACACCGACGCGGCAGGTCGCTTCAACCATTTATGCTTTATAAGCTTCCCTTGGGTCAAAAATAGACGAACATCCCGGAAATACACACATAAATAAAACCGTATGTCCTTAATAAACTATGAATAGCACTCACGAAAGCTTCAACTTCAAAAGGTGTACTATAATAACACTACAAATTTTACTAGCTTCTAATGAACTGAAGCACTGATTATAATTTTTATTTCAAACTTAATTGTAATTGCGAAATGATTGAATTATTGAAGCTACCATGCAAGGTGTCACGCAATTAAGGTTCGTTAAACACTACGGGTTATAAAGCAGATCAATGATTTTAATTTTAAAGCAGTGGAATTGAAAAAGCACTTCCATATGCTAGTTCTAAAGGGCGGCGTCGTTATTTATACATATCTACATATATGGTACAGACACCATTTTTTAACTTATCTCTTTAGCTCCGAGCCAATTCTACTTCACGGTTGTATGTGTAGATCTTATTCCATTAGTGTTAATAATATGCCTACTTACCTATAATTTAATAATAACATTTATTATGATGAAATGATCTCATCTACAGTGCTAGTACATAATCACTCAAAAATTCGTTGTTGTGTCATCGTTTAAACCTTGAAATCTATTCAAGTTTTATCTTTTATATTTTACTTTATAAAACTTGCTTTGTGAATGAATAACACTTTGTTCATAATATCACTAAATATCTGGCAGTATGTTTCCTTCAGACCGTATTCAATGAGTATTAATTGTAAAATGATATTACCTAAAAATGTAGCAGAGGGTGAGTTGTACGCTAAGTACTCCTTGTTAGACGCCCACGCGGGGAACTCGGATTGTTTTAGGGCGCCGGACCCCTCGGCTTCCTCCCGTTTCCATGGCAGCATCGTTTCAGTCGCTGTAGGGGTTGCTACGCGTGCTTGTTCCGCAACGATCATGTTGTAGTTATCTATGTGTATCAATCAATACAGTTTATTTATACTATCGCATGTAGGCAGAGCCTGTACTATGGTAACCAAACTACTAATAAACATACTTATATATTTCTTAATTTATACACAATATCGATAAATTACATCCAGACACAGTACAAATGATCGTGCTCAACACACAATTATTTCTCCTGGATGGGAGTCGAACCCACGACCTCCGGCTCAGCAGTCAGGGTCACTAACCACTAGAACAACAGGCCCGTCGTTGTCTAAGATGGCTAAAATGTTGCACTAGTTTTCATAATGATATGAGCCGTTAGTTTGAGAGATTAGTTTGACAAATGTACAAAAATCGAAAAGTTGAAATCGAATTAAATTGTAATTGTAAAGTAAATACAATAATTTAATAGTTATAAATTTAAAAAAACCTTCATTGAATATGTATATAAGTGTTTTAATCACAATAAAATTAATTATGTACTTTAATCATACTTAAACATAGTATGTTTTCTATTAACTTTTAAGTTGCTACTTAAAATGGTAATTCAAATAAACACTTGATATTCCAAATTAACTTCTTATATTCTATATTTAGAGCGTTATAATGATTAGCGTTATACAGTCAGAATCTTACAAAACTATACCTCACCATTATCATCGGACAGTCTCCTTTCGTCCTCTTCAAGGATGTCTTCATTTGGAACTAAAACATTAAGGTAATCCATAAGCTCTTGCTTGTTTCCACGATTCGATAATATATTAAGATACATACCTATCAATATCACTATATACCATCTATCGCTTTGTGTAATTTTCTACAACATTATTCCTTAATATCTACATAATATCTACTATTTAGATATAAATATCTAACACAGGACAAAGGATGTCGTGTTTAGTTGAACGTTATTTCTAAGGAATATATTTATATAAAATAACCCTTCATTACATTCTAAAACTAATCGTTATACACTAACATCACTATGTTCTATTACGGATATGCATCTATTACTTACCGACTTGTCAATAAAAGCATTTAATAATAACTTAAGCCCATATAATATTCAATAACGCCTCAAGCAACATACTTATAAAACAGGCTGTCTATAGCGTCCTTAAGCGCTGACTAGACTAAGAAACTATACATGTAATATAGATGGAGAATGATAAATAGTATGTGTTTATAACATGCAACAGTAACATTGTATCGGATGACCAATATCTTATCAAAGCGTCTGTTGAAAGAATGTTTCAAATAAAAAGCACAGCACAGCAATACCCCGAAATTTTTACAGTGTCGAGAGAACATCAAAATTCCGTGTATCTACCTATAAAAAGCAAGTAAGAATATAGATAGAAGTTATAGCCGTATCTATACAGTACTGAGATGAAGGAAAAGTGATCCAGAATTATATACCTATCTGAGATGTGACTCGATAATCGGGGTATCACTATACAAAAAATATTAATATAAGTTTACGTTACTTTAAACCAGATTAGGTTTAGTTATTTGAAAACTGTTAATAAGTAATACCCCTAATTAATAATGAGGGCAGCGCGGACAGCAAGTGACTTATCTTGAAATATAACATAATCATGATTTAAGGTAATCGTAGCATAGAAAAAATAAAGCATAATCTAAACAAAATCTTGATCATCAGACGCAAGTATGCACGCAGTTATCTAGTGACATTTAAAACATTTCAGCTTTCAAGTAAACACATACCAAAGTTATACGTGGATCTGTCCCTTCTCCACGGTAAGGATTTCTCAACAGCTGTCGGGAGAATTTCTTCGGGTGTTTTAGCATACTGCTTGACGATTCTCGCTTTCAATGGATTGAATCCGGGCAGGTTAGCCAGTTGGTTTAAAAGTGAACTACTATTTTCTTTATGCGAGGATGTCGGACTGACTTCTTTGTATCCAGCTGATAATTTTATCATCCCCAGTTGTCGAGAGTATTGGTTAGATTTGCGGTGCCACATGAAGATTGCCAGAAGGGAAGAAAACGACGATCAAACACAAACGGTATTAAACAAGCAAAGATAAAAAGAAATTAGTAGCAATTAGAAGATTACTTAGTATTCCTAGACAGGTATAAGGATTATTTGATGCTAAGGAGTATAGGCAGAAAATAATACAAATAGTTAGCAAACCCTTTAGTCAAACACATCACATCATCACATCAACACCCTTTAATAGTCCACTGATGGACATTGGCCTCTCCTGAGAAAGGAAGTTTTGGCCTACTATACCACGCTGGCCAGACGGGTGGTATAGGGTCTGCGTCAAGTTTTGATTCTCTTTGTCAAGTCTTTGTTGAGTCAAACAATAGATACTAGTTAAACAAATGTTGGTTAAATTCTTTTATATTTTTTACTAAAAAAGTTTGTGCAGAGCTTGTACGACGTGTGTTAAAGTTTCTGAAATACAGTTGTAAGAAATAACAGTTATCATTTATTTATTTAATTTATCGACCAGCTACGTTTAGAATTTAGTCCATACAAAAATTCTAGACTAAATTCTAAAGTTATGCTTAAAAAGTACATGAAATTAAAAGTAAAAAACTGAAAATGATATGATACTGATTTGCTATAAGGTTTGCCAGAGCGAAATAATTCAGTGGTAATTTAAACGATCTATTATTGAACCGCTCTGACTTCGTACATTCTACCTTTCTGGTACAATCCGTCCTGTTATGGAACGCGCTGCCTCGCGAGATCAGGATGGCAAAAACTCGGCAAACTTTTAAATACCTGTTGCGGAAACATCTCTTAAACTCCTTATCAGATCTACCGTGATACCTCTCTCTTCTAAAATATATTGTGTGTATGTATGTATATGTATATATATATATAATATGTATAGTTATATGTATGTATAAATGTATATTATTATGTAAACATAATATATGCACACAATGTGCATATGATATTCTATTTATACTATTTATTATTTTTTCTTTTAAATCACATTTCTAATTTCTGTGCATCTACCATTTTTTTAACTCTGCATCGCCCTAAGGTCGACTGGTAGAAAATGCCTACGGCATTAAGTCCGCCTGTGTCACATTTGTGCATAAAGTATAAAATAAATAAATAAATAAATAGGCAACGTAATCATAAACTCCAAACGAATCAAACGGAATTTGAGTAAAGGTAATAGTTATTAAATACTAATACATACAGAGAATTAATTCGGAACATGCCACCACAATAACATTTCAGAACATTTTCACAGTACGTAGCCATGTCAGAAATTAACGAACGCGTTAGGTCCAGCAAATAATAATCGTATACCAATTCGGTACACGCTGGGGAAATACTCCGTGTTATTAGCGTAGAATAATATGAAGTGCACAAAATTAAAAAAATAGCAGCGTAATTCAACAACATCTAAGGACTTGTTTGGATTTGAATTAGTTGTTTTAGTCATAAGTATAAAGTTTTAGTATCGATTTTATTCGCGGTGTACTTATTAAGACCCGAATTGTAAGCGATACAGATTTTATCTTCGCTTGATAACAAAATAAATTTTCTAGAGTTGCACGTTCAGATATTTCTTTATATGTGTAATCATAACTTTTAGTGTTGATCTAATTTTGAAGTAATATGCACGAGAAAGATTTTCACTATTATATTACTTAATTTGACGAAAAAATTCATCCTCGGTTGCTGTCACACTTGAAATTTATAAATTTGATTTGATACAACTGAAAGATTGATGACAAATTAATAATGGAATCAAATTATAATATAATACATTTTTTTTTGCAATTTGATATATTTTTTTATAAGGTGACTTAACGTGAGCTAGCTTGTAGGCTCTGCTAAATCAGTTCTTAATCTGACAAACTAGCTATCAATATTTATTTGCATTTTTTTATACAAAGTGTGCGTTGTTAGGCTACGTTGGTTTAATTTTGCTCCACCTACATACATAGTACTTCTGTTGCAATAACATGTAACAAGAAACGACATATTAATAGCAGTTTTCAAATTGTAGCATTCAAATCCAAACTGTGGTGTACCACACTAGGTGTCTCATGCAGAATACCTACGCAGGGATTTTGCAGTGAATGTTATACCGCCATCGTCGCCGTCCCGGCGTGGTACCACCTCGCGTTCGTCGCCTTCTTCTTGAAGCACCTCGTCTATGTAGTCTGCACAAAAGTATCATACAACTGGCTTATGTGTAACACGACCATGCTTATTACAAATGTACAAAACGTGCAAATAATGTCAAACAAAAGTGCCGAAAATTTAAAGCATACGTTTATTTATTGTTGTTATTATTCATTGCGGAACACACTTAGTTATCTTAAAATACACTGTCGTAAATAAACAGAATGCATGTGCTTCTAAATGTAAATACAGAAAGGAAAGAAAAAAGAATTCAAGTTATTTGTTATTCATTTGACGCAGATTGCAATTCTATTGGATAAAAATTCATATTTTGTATGCACACATATTTATTTTCTTATCTTTGTATTTAGAACCATACAATTATTGATGTTTATGGCTTTTCTAACCTGCTCTACAACTTTATTTGTTGTATAATAATTAATTAATGAAAATAAACATGTGACAAATAACATGTAGTCTTGGTATATTGTAAAAATACATCACAAATCACATAAATAAACCAAAAATGTGCTACAATGTTTACAATATTTGAATTTGTAAGTTTAATAACACAGTAATGTGGTTTTGCTAACATATAACAAAGCTTTAGTGCTGGCAAAGAAACATAACAATGGTATTTTTGCGTATTTGTATGTTTTGTAAGTAGAAAATAAATCAAAATAAATACTTGAACCCACACGTGCATGCGATCAACACTCGTGATAGTAATTAAAAGTAAATAAGTACCTAATCTATAATACTTTATTTTACCGTGCGTGAACTGTTTGGCCGAACCATTTTGCTGGAATTCAGGGAAAGTGACATGGTTTTTGCCATCCTGAAAACGAAGAAATTATTGAGTGCAACTGTGGCTGTTTCAATTAAATCTTGAATCAGTTAGCTACTGGTTTTTTAATTCTGTCTTGAATATTATTTCTGATTTGAAGTTAAGAACTTTATTTCTCTAAAGATTTTTTATTCTCTCATAATCATTAAAAATATCAGAGGACGGTAAAAAGTTTTATATTTGTCAAAATAACTTTTTTATAAAGGTAGTCATTATCCTTATCAAGTCAATCTCGAAGCATTATATCCCAAGGGCGGAAAAGAGACTTTTTAATGTTATTAAATGAGAAAAATGAAATTCTAACAGTCAATTTAGAATAAAGTGAAGAGGGCAGAGAGAGAAGAAAACGGAGAGATTACAGAATGTTGTGTTCTTGGTCCACGTACCTGCTTTCCACGTTTGCTACGTTTGTGGTGATGTTTTCTGTCGCCAACGCGTCGACGTATGTTCATGTGGGTCTTGTAGTTGACTTGCGTGCCGAGATCGCGATCATTCACTGCGTGTCGGCTGTAGCTTAGCCGCCGATGCTAGATTTAAAATCAATGGGATAAACTTTAAAGTTTCTCATAGGAAATCAGCACAAGGGCAAATAATTTTAATAAGATTGCTTCAACTTCCGCTTTTTCCTTGACAGTACAGTTATAATTTTTTTATGTTGATATGAAAAAAATTAATTGGTAGAACGTAGGTCGAATATTTTGTGTGTGTAACTTTGGTTATATGAACGCAATCTTTTCATCTCACAGAGTTTAAGGAAAACCAAATTGCGCATCGTTTCTCATTAATTCAGAGTATGTCAAAATAGAGTGTTGCACGTAAAAAAAACTAAAACAGAGACGTTTACTTTATTATGCAATTTTACACACATGAAACGGGCGCAACACGTCATTGTTATTTATTAGTGTCTGTGCAAAGTGGTCAACGATTGGCCACTATGTTTTCGAGGCTTTCACAGCTTTGACATATCAATGATCCAAGTTATTCATATTATTTAAGTGTCTTCTCCAACTTCAATCCTGTCAATTCGCAACCTAGATTTAGTACTTATTCTCATAGAACAAATTGTTTGAGAATTTAGTCATCTATTATATTTAATTAATCAAATGCCATATTTTATGTCCATAAAGAATACATTATACATTATTAACAACAAACGACAATTCAACGACAGTGGGTATACATACTCGTCTAAACGGTTTGCAGAGTTCTTCAGCAAGAAGGTGGTGTATTTTGGCGTCTGTGAGATCCTTCTTAGATGGATTATATTCAAGTTCTTGCATATCTATATTCCATGTAGATGAATCTAACTGACTGAAACTTGGGCTGGAATAAAAAATATCATAGTTTAAAAAAGAATAGACAAACGTTTTGCAGCAATACCTTATGTTAAGATGTCAAAGATTTGTTTGTTTAGTTTGAACCAGTTTATAGGCAAGCGTAGTTTATGTTTTTCAGATTTAGACAAGTGTGATAATTTGATCACTTACAATCTAGTGCTATTCGTACACCTTTACCTACTGTAAAAATAAAGATAACAATCCATTTAGAGGACATTCACGCAAACGGAACACTCAAGTTCTTAATTCTAAGGACCTCTTCTCTAAGGAGAGGCCTATGTCTAGCAGTGGACTATTATAGGCTGTTGATGATGATGATGATAAAGTTCTTAATTCACCAACTGCAATAGTTACATCGACACTGTGTGTTCAATCCTTACATAGTACCACCAATTATTTATATTTCAGCGAATAGATAAGCCTCTGTGTAGTAATTGAAGTTGAAGAAAAAAAGGGTAATGTAGCGTGATATTATTTCCTACCTTCCATTGAAATTGGCATTGGTATAGTTTTTGAATATCGCTGACATAGATTCCGCTCCGGATATATTTCCTATAGTCGATGCATTTCTCTGCATATATTCGATGGCGTCCTTCATAGCCAACTTGGAATAAGTCTCCAAGATCTTAGGCTCCGCGCCCTGTAATATTATAACCATGACATATACTGAAGAAGAGCTTTGGAGAACCTCCATTGCTTATAACAAGGCTCGCTATATATTTATACGTAGGAATTGACTACATGTTAGTTACATAAATCTTTAACGTATAAGTATCAGTAATGATTATGTTTTGGCCTCCTTTGGCTAACTTAATTATGTTGAGTACAATAACTAATAAAACTTAAGATGAAAATTTCTCTCTATGTTTCTAACTCACAATCACTAACAGAATTTAAAACTTATTGATTTAAATATAACGTATATTACTATTTTTTTTACTAATTATTCCAAGAGAAGTCGCACTTAGGTGAATTCCTAATGAGACTCTGGTGGTGAGACTCGAATTTCGGTCGGTCGGTTTCGGGGCATCAGTTACAAGCCACTAATATGTTTGACACAATTCTAAGGATCAAATAATGATGAAATGAAAAAGTAGGTACAAGTCATAAAATCCTATTCGTTGTTCTATTTATCTTTCTAAGGAGAGGCTTAAGTCCAGTAGTGGACTATTAAAGACTGTTGATGTGATGTGTGATATGATATGAATGTAACTTGTAGAAGTAATTTACCTGATAGTTTCTAATTAAAAACGGCCTTATGAATCGATTATCGAATCTCTTGAATTTGTCTCTTATGTGATGGTTGCCGTGTTTACCTAAGATATCCTCTATACCAGCCATCAGGTGGTCCATGAACTGAAAAAAAAGTTAAGCCGAAAGTTAAAGCAACAAATAAATTTGACTTGAAAAAAACACAAAAGCTACACCTAATATTTCAGATAAAGTTCTCTAAGACTTGTGAATTTCGCCAGTCCGTACAAAGCAGCTACGGAAAGGAAAATTACATAAGAGAATATCCCTTCATCTAATTTATCCTTTTTTTCGGTCTTATACATATGACAAATTGAACTATTTTTCTTATAAATAATACTTATGTTCTTCGAAGTGAAAGTCACGTATGTTGGAGATGAAGACATAAGCGCGAGTATGGTTACGGTACCGTGCACTCATAATAGGAGAGCTGTTATTTCTAATGCTATCTAACGCAAGAAGGAGTGGGTGCTAAGTTAAATTTTATTAAGTGTATTTTTGTTCCTTTCCGTGGCTTTGTAACTCCTAAACGGATATATTCATTTATTAATTTTTTTGCTTGAAAAATGAGAATTTTATCGTCTATTATCCAAAATTCACTAACTTATGCTAGTGTTCGAAAAGTATTTCCATTTCAAGAGTTAAAGTAACAATATGTTCATATATTTTAGTTTTAATTTACACTTGTTGGTGATGAGTAGGGGAGTGTATACATAGGAAGGTCATAATTCTTGCAAGTAAGACACTGGCAGTAATAAAACTGGCCAGGAATTTGTTTGTCTATTTACAAGTATTAATAAAAAAGCATTTATACACCTCCAGTATTTACCTCGTATTTTTTTCCCCTTCTTTGCGCTTAGCTAAAGCTAAAACAAATTAGGCTTACAACAGCTACAATCTAGTCAACAAAAAGATAATCTGCGTTTACCCTTTCATGAATCCTTTCATTCATTGTTGGTTTCCGTTTCTCAGCTGTTTTTACGTTCAATATTTTCACGAGGGGCTTTATTGTGATCCCTTGAATGAATACCGTGAAGTATATCACCGCAATAGTTGTAGTTACAAACATCGGTTGAAGTTCGACTATTTCTGGATCTATTAGCAGCACTAATGCAAAAGCTACAGCACCTCTCAAACCTAAAAATAGAATTTAATATATTCCAAATACAACAAAAAAACACGGTTTGATAAGGAACCAAATAAAAAAAGAGTTCCACCGTCCACCTCTTGGCTTCCATTATCAGCTTGTTATGATCCCTGGAGTTAACTACCTAAATTTTACAATTTTTACAAGGGTACAATGCTATTCAGGAGTTTAAAAAAACGATCAACTTTCGTGAGGTCCGTTGATACAAGACTCCCTCAACGTGAATTAACAAATATCGTTTTTAATAAAAGCTTTTCTGAAGTTTGCATGTTTTAATGTACCAATTAATTTTATATGAGTTTAGCTCTTTTGATTTAGCTAGTTTAAAACCAAAATGTGTGAAGATAGCAGATTAACGAGAGAAAAGTTCACTATTAAGTCGATATAATAGTAGTATTAAGTAAATATATACTTAGAGATGACTGGACGCTGGCCATATTTCAATGTGGCGCCTAACACCGACACGGCAATTCGTTTAACCCCTAGATAAAGGGTCCCAACGGGCATCAACGAAATACGTGTAACAGCGTACGTGTAAATATATGTTCAATGAATACAGATAACGGTTGTTCGACATACTACCTTATAACTGAAATCAGCTTTTATTTCAACATTACAGACTAACAGAAAAGACTACAGTAAATACACCTACTTTTCGTCCACTGTTTGTCATGTAATGGATTTCATTCCAATTTTCGTGGCTGTAACTGAGTATTTATTTACCGAAAGACAAGATTTATTTACAAGAAGAGACCCTATTTTACAAGAAACGAGAAACGAACGAACGAAACAAGAAGCTTACATTACACCTTAGAACATGTTAAATACAAAAACAAAATAATAAAAAAAAATGCAAGTTAAAACTTTGATTATTCAGAAGCTCACCTCCATACGACATCACAAACTTCTCAACTCTATTAAGTTTATGCAATCGGAATTTGTTAGCTACTGTGCTAAATATGTACACACCTGAAAAAAGAAGTATTACATCCATATACAATCATACAGTTGGAGCACAGTGACAGTAAATGTTACATCATTTTTACTAGTTAAGCGTTCATCATCAAATTTTGCACACACACTGTCAGCGGCATGGAAAACGATGATGGCCACCTTTCGTGTAGAAAAACTTTTGGTGATATCTAAGTTGATTAAAAGTATTTATACAAAACGAGTCCAATGTTGTTAAGGTGAAAACATCTTCGAAATTTTATATAATTTGAATGAAGAATTTATTGAAAGTCAATGCCCCAAATTAGAAGTTATTATACCCTTTAAAGGAGTGACTATACGTATAAGGAGAAGTAAAAAAATCCTTGCCTTGCAACGAACCGCTTGACTAACTACTCGTAATGTACCAGGTCACAAGTTTTTTGGATACATTTTATATTATTTGACATCTTAGGTACCGAATATCACTTACCTATTATTCGGAAAACTGAGCAGAAAACAATAGTCAATAAAACAAACCACGTATTCCAATCGTGGTTGTTATTGACGGTAGCTACACCAAGGAACATGAAAATGATCGTTTCAGAGGACGACGATAACATTTTCATGGTGTATTTTATAGTCGTATGCGATTTGTGCGATATGTTCCCTTCTACATAATTCTTCATAGTAATACCACAGAAAGTTATCCTGAAAAGATTAAGATCCTGATAAGATTGGTCCTGCATATTTCCCAGTCCATTAGAATCTACATTATTTTATACTAATTATATCTTTTAAATTCCCTTAATGAATACATTCCTTTAGTTATTGTAATTGGTGAAAACTATAAAAAAATATAAAATTTCATTAGCCCTTTCAACTCTAACTCGCTTTTGGCATCTAAAGATGTTTTTATATGACCATCTTATCCTATTAAAATTGATTAGTTTAAAGTAGCGTGTGTTTGCAGCACTTAAATGCCGAATGTAAAGTTACGACTTAAGCTGTAGATGCCGTTATTACAGAAATTGAATTAAGATAATAAGAGAATAAATTGTTAAACCTAGTTGACCTCAAAGAGCAAGACTTACAGTGACAAAGACTTCAGGACAACTCTTTTGCAGCGAATATCTTAAATCCTAGGCATGGTACCCATGAACTGAGTGTAGGTTTTGTTAATTCGAATTTGACCTAAGCACCATCTCGTTTCAAGGGAGATGAGGGGGGTTTCCAGAAAATACCCTTTAAATATTTAAATACTGTACAAGAAACGTATATGAGTCGATTTTGGTACTAATCCGGATAAAATCGTACTTTTCGCACAGTTTTATAATACGTCTGACGTCACTGGTGTGTGACGTTACTGGACTATAGAGGCAATGCGTTATATCTATTTTAAACACAGAACTAAATGTTTATAGAATTCACTGACGTCACTCTTTGCTATTTATATAAGCGTATATTAAAAGTCTTTGTGAAACAGAATGACGTCAGGGAATATGAAATAATTACGTGGGCGCTCTAAATGTTAATAATTTTATTTAAAACTTACGCAAGTATTCCGCTCATATGAAACATCTCTGCATTAAGATAAGCTAGGTACGCCATGACAAAAATGAAGATGGGCTCAATTACTCTAACTTCATGTGTGAAACGAGTTACAAGACCAGTGGCAAATCCCCATACAACTCCAATACAGGTTCCTCCAACTGCCACTACTAGAAATGACGCCAGTCCTGCTAAAACATCCGTGTAGACCAAACGGGATGGACCCATTTCTCTGTAGACGACATCAAATTACTAATTATTGTGAAAATAAAAATATGTTATTGTTTGAAACATATGTCAAAAGCGAAGATTCTTAAATCATTAATAGATTATTCTTCAGCTTGTGATGACTAACTACAAAAGTAAAACAGTCTGTAAGTAGAGAAATGTCTGTTTAAACATTATGAACAGTACTAACTTATCTGACCTTGTGTAGCTTAGAAAAATCGCACGACGTAATGAATTATTCGTTGCCTTTAAAAATGAAGAACGTTTTTAGTTTATTCGAAGGCTGTATTTACAAATCGACGTTTTGACATTTTTTTCGTTTTTGAATTGTTATTTACCAAGTTTTTCGGAAACAATAAACATATTAGATATCCTTGTAAAAACTAGAAGGTATATTTACTAGTAATAAGCTTAGTAGGGCGGGTAACTATTTATAGCTAGACCTTATCCATACGTGAAGTCACGTAATGCGATATTATAGGTACTGTTACCTATAAAATTATTATAAGTACTGTTACCTAAAAAAATTTGTAAAATAAACTCTGTGGCACAACTACTGTCAAATTTTACGCAGTTGTGCCTAGCATGAAAAAGTAGTAGTAATAATCCACAGAAATTGTATTCAGATCGACAGGATTATTTTAAATTATTTTGACACTTACGTGTAAGCTTCAAACATGTGGTATAAGACCACTGTAACAGCATCGTTTAATAAGGATTCCCCGAACACAACGATATAAAGAACTTCGTCGACGTGAATTTCTTCAAAGACAGCTAAAACAGCAACTGGATCAACTGCAGATATTAGCGCCCCAAATAAAAGCATGTCCAGTAAAGGTGTGGTGCGACCAAACATCCCAGTTTGGCCACAGGCCCAGAGAGATGCTCCTGATGTAAGATAAATAAAATTGAAATATTGTCTATTGCCCAAAATTTCATAATAAGAAGTAAATTTTACTTACCAATTGTCAGAGTGTTGAAAACTGTACCAACAACAGCAAACAACAGAATTGTTCCCAGATGATCAAAAAATAATCTATTTGGCATGAAATATCCTGCATCCAAGATGATAGGAGGCAGCATGTATAGAAAGAAGGTGTCCGGCGTTAAAGGTTGGACGTGTACGCTATGTGTGCTCAGCAGAAGTGCTCCGATAAGAACTCCCACAAAAATAAGTAGACAGGATTCAGGGAACATTTTCGACAATTTCGGCGCCATATGAAAACCTGTAACAAAAGCACTGCTGTAGTGGCTGCTTGTAAAAAAGAAATGAAGAGAAATTTGATAATTGTTACGTCATTAAATGTCATTATTATTGACAAATTGTGTATAACGATAAAATTAAAAAATTTAACAAATTAAAATTGTCGTGAAATTCAAAATTTTGAGTTGATAATGGTCTTAACTTAATCAAAATGCCTATTTCAAGGTCAAATATTATACCGTATAGTAGATCATACTCGAGTTTATTTGATTTATTTAGCCCAATATCGTTTAAACTGTTTCGTCAAAACAACCCCAATGAACTAAAAGAACAGTCAATATTTCATACGACCTGCAAGGAACCAGTTATTAAATCGTTAAATGCTCATTCCAAAGGTGAAGAATATGTAACAAGTGAGAAGGTAAATAACATAAATAACAACATTAGTTCTAAAACGCTTGTAAACTCTGCTAGTACTATATTCTACGATTTAGATGATATTGCTAAAAGACATTCATTTCATTGTATACCTGAGCTCGGACAATCTGTAGCAAACTTAAATTTATTAAAAGTTATGAGAATGAAGATAAAGCACAATACATTCGTTGGGCAACCTAACGCTATTGTCCAAGAATGTGCAACACAAATGAAACCTAAGTTATTGCCACGTGACAGTAACGAGATCCGTTCCAAAAAGGTCAAGAAAAAAATCTCTAAAAATCCAGTGATATCCTCTGAAATTTTTCTAAGAGATGACGAATACGGTCTAGACAATGGAACCAATGACTATTACATTAAACATGGGGTTCAAAGACCACAAAAATTTTGGTCCTATTCTAAATACCGTACTGAGTACACAAGATCAATGCCGAAAGAAAAAAAGCTAAAGCACAGCAGAGATACCGGAAAGCACAACGAAGATCCTTGTCCATGTCAATTATTTTCTTATGCATGCCCTTGCACTGACAAAAAGTCACTTACTGGATTGGCAAAGCATACTAAGTCTATGACTATGAATAATCAAAATACTAGTACTTCAAAAATTATAGCTGTTGATCGCAAAGATAATAAATCAAACAATAATAAAATTAAAAAGAATAAGCAAGACACTGTGCGAGAAGACAAGCCCACAAATACAAGCGTGGCAGAGCTAATTGAAGCAATGGTTCAAAATGAATCTGATGTACCAATTCAACAAAATCTACCAACGTATGCTCAAAATAGAGAAAATATCATTCCCGATCAAGGTAAAGTCCTTAAGAATAGTAAAAATAACAATAAACCGAAAATTCAAAAGAAACCAAGAAAAATATTATGTCCTAACTGTAACGAAGAAGTTGATATCGTAGTTAGTACGAGTACCACAGAAGAAGAAGAAAGTTTAAAATATGAGAACTCTATGATAAATAGTCATGAGATACCGTCTACCGCAGCGTACACCTATAGAGCGTCACCTACGACAGTCAGAACTAAACATACAGATGATGATTTATGCGTTCATAATCCCCCTTGTGAAATATTACCTATATGTCAGATTTTACCCAATGAATTTTATAATATGAATCAGAAATGTCTCAAAAATAACTCTTCAGTGAAAGCCACTCCACGTGTTATCAGAATAACTAAGGCATGCAGACATCATCCGCCTTGTACAGTCGTTCCATCATGTCAAAGAGCGAATGTTTTAAACAACAATTGTGAATATATACCGCCTTGTTTGCATCGTCCACGTTGCGTTAATCTACCACTTTGTGTCCCATTTTCTAAAAGTCTACATTACGAAGAAGGACAACCAAAATTCGTCGATGATATTGCAAACTCAGAATGTCCACATATTCCGAGATGTAAGTATACTCCTGTATACCAACATGATTCTTTAGCAAATTTAGATCATCAGCAAGTAAATATGGTTTCTCGAGTGCAGAATGATGGTAATTTTTTCAATAATTATAACTCTCCAAATTTTTCACTTAATCCGAAATCAAAATGTGTTCACAACTCATTTTCTCCATTTCAATTTTGTACCCCACCGTGTCATATTTGCAAATCTAATAAATCATGTCAATTTGATTGCTCATATAACACTCCCAGTTTTATTGAATCAAACGACGATGCTATCGTATTTATTAGAGACGTGGGGTGTCAGTTTAGATGCAAAAACTTTAAACCAGACAACTCAAATTATTCACCAAAGAATTCTATAAAAAGTTATTCAGCAGAAAATTCCATCTTGCAATCTAAAACTTCTAGTAATTCATTCGACTTTGTAGACGTTAAGCAGATGGGCAAATACGGCAAAAATATTCACACTTTGCGATGTGAGGATAAATCTACGAATCCAATAACGGGAGCAGAAACTTCATTTTCGACGGCCTCAATCACATCTATAGATTCTGAATGTCCGTCTCATGGACGGCGAGTCAACCAATACTTGCAAAGAACTCGGTCTCCATCAGGTTTTCGGCCTCATGCGGCCTATGTCACCGCATTTTCAGCTGTCAAAGGCCCTCAGAATATTAAATATAATGGTATCAACAAATCGCACGTTCCAGAAAATCGCGATTGTCAGGACACTTATCCAGTTAGATGCCATAGAAGCTTTATAAAGGGTAAATATAAAAAGATGTTTTCATTGTCACGAAGAAGAAAATCTAGACTAAGTAATCATCTTGTTAATCATAATCCTAAAAAAACCTGCCTAATTAAGCACTCATAATTCGTAAAATGTTTTAAATGTTTGTGGTTATTATTCCCATTCGTGTTATAAAAACAATAAAAATCGATTTTTAACTTGTATTATTTCTTTCTTGAAAAAATGTAATATATTATATCAACATCTAGATATTTCCATTATTATATTGGTGCACTTAATAAAAAAACGAAGGACTTAAGTCTGGTAGAAACATTGAACTAAGTTCCCAATAATTTGTTGAAAAATCGATCTACGAGTATATAGTACTAAACTCCACGAAACATCCCGGATCAATAATTCTTTAAAGGATTAGACAATAGCTGAAATCTGTGAACAGCTGATTAGATTTTTCTAAATTATAAGAAAACACTTGATACCTACTAAAAAGATACTGTTTACAAATTATCTCGGCATGAAAGATCCAGTGGTCTTTCAATAAGAAGTATGAAGCGTCAAGTAAGTAGATATTGCGTGTAAGAAAAACAAATGGTTTTTATTTGAAAACAAGATTTTGTTATTTTATAACAAGAAGTAGGTATGCATCAGTGCAGTCGTGTGCTTTTGCTAATATACTGGTTCAGTAGGTATAAGTTAGCAATGGGACATAACTGCACTCACGTGTGTATTTGTTATGGGTAGAACGACAAATAATCAGTAACTATAATAGCGACAGTAATCGTTAATGAGGAGATCAATGAGTAGGACTTGTCGGGCCTGGCATTGTCAGTTCAGCAGTCAGGTATTGCTTTGCCCTGAAATATAGATACGTAAGTATAACCATAAGCATATAACCATATAACCGTAAGCATACCTAAGGTGAGTTTCCGTGTGTTGGGCGATTCTGCCATACGTATCATAGGAATCAAATACAGCTCACTTAGGATCCATAATGTTTTTGGATTCCTGGTGCTACGCGCTTTAACAGAGTGTGTACTTATTATTCCTTCATTTCGGACTCTCGCCTCCCTTCTTAGCAAATAAGGAGGGAAGTCGATATATTATATTTGCAAATCCTCCAATTTACTTTTAGGTAATTTCAGTTTAACTTTCCCTGGGTCTCCACGATTTTCATTAATCGATATAAGGAGATAGAATAATATATAGATATAAGAATATATAAATAAGGAGGGAAGTCGATATATTATATTTGCAAATCCTCCAATTTACTTTTAGGTAATTTCAGTTTAACTTTCCCTGGGTCTCCACGATTTTCATTAATCGATATGTTCGTGGATTACTGGTGTTGATTCTGGTGTACAAGAGTTACAGTGCGGCGGAGCGGGAGAGAGAACACAGCAACGCTCTTTTTGCCTGAAGAAAGCGCACCGGCACTGGCGCCGGCATTCATCGATCTCCGGCCAACTTAGGAAGTGGCCTGCGGGCTACATTTAGGGGAATTCGTCGTCCGAACAGACTCAGGAATGAGAGTCAGCGTACCCACAGTGTTATGTGTGCGTTGCTGCACCTGCGACTGAAGGATCACGGTCGCAACGAGTGACGAAACCCGTCTTGGGTGAGACGAGAGATATTTTATTAGTCCAATATTAAAAGAAAATACATAACCGCCTTCATGGTTTAAGTAGCAACCGTTATATTGAAATGATTCCATGAAGTTTTTGTAATAGATCTTTCTGCCTTAGCTATAAGACAACTAAAGAGGAGAAAGAAAAAAGCACCTTATAATAATAGAATATGAATAGATACCCAGTGGTCTCGTTAATGGGAATACTAGTCTTACCAACGGGAAGTAAAATTTAGTTAGTTTACTGAATAACTTAATTTCAAAACATATTAATTACTAGCATTATACTATAACCATCACATGAATACCGCAACAGTACTGTACAAAACTGACAGATACCGACCAATCGTACAGACCGTACAGTTAACCGAAGTCAATGGCATCTCAAAAGCGTGTCACTGAAATACCCACGGGACGATCTCATAAAAACAAAGTAGTGTAGTTATTGTAGAAGTGTGAGTCCATGTTTCTTACTACGTCTATATTAAGAATAACACCCTAAAGATGTAAATACTGCTAGTCATTAAGAAAACAAAATCAATACTCACCGATTTTTGCAAGGCTAGCGAAAAAAATCCATAATCCTATTAGAAAAGGTGTTTCAACCCTGTGAAATTCGACAGCAGCGATGACAAAAGTCCTCTCCTTCTTCGGTTTTTCCGTGCTAGGTAGGCTAGTAGTAGTGTCTTGGTGTTGTCGCAGCTGGGTGCCCGGGGGTTCACCGGGGAACGGGGCGACTGGCCCCATAGGGCCGAACCCCACACCAGGGTATGTGGAGACCCCATCGACTGTAATGGACGGACTTTGTTTCGTGGTGGTCTGAAAAGAAGAAAACCTTTGTAAGAAATAGATAACGGAAAAAATATTTACTTCTTGTTATTTTTTGGGCTTTGGATTGAGCTATAGGTGCAAATATTTATAATTGGATATAGCAAGTTCGCAAGTCAGGGTCTTTGAGTTTGCGAATTTCGGTTACTAGAGATCGTCTGGCGATCGAATTTAAGTTTTGTTTCATTGGCTAGCACACAGAACAGGTGCTTATTTACTGACCTGTGGGCTAGCATAACTTGAACTATCATTGTATAGACTTTTGTACTATCTATGGTTACTGGATCCCTCTAGTTTTATGTAGCCGTGTTTTATTACCGTTTAATATTATGTTTAAGTTATTTTATGTAGAAGAATTTACGGTTTTCTTAAGTTATTATATGAAGACAAGATACGAGAGCTCAACCGCAACCTTTTGTTAAACAACACTGTATGGTGACTTTCTGGACGGGCCTGGTCTAGTTGTTAGTGACCCTGACTACTAAGCCGGAGGTCCTGGATTTGATGCCCACCCAGGACACATATTGTGTGATATGCACGATCATTTGTTCTGGGTCTGGGTGTAATTTATCTAAAATATGTATGTATTTAGAAATATAATAAGTAAGTTTATCAGCAGGCTTGTTACCATAGTACAGGATCTGCATAGTTTGGGATCAGACTGCCGTGTGAGATGGGTAAAGTTATTATATTATTATTAATTGTATAGAACATAGAAATGCAAGGACACAACAATAAAATACAGTAGTACACTGTGTTATGTTGTTGTGTTCTTGTAAATTTACACCACTGTTATACACATTACGAGTATTTACAAAGAATTGCTCAATAACAGGCACTCCGATAACTTATCTTCTATCGATGGTAGTAATTTGACATAGCCTTGGTTGGTGCACTTGTTAAAGCAAGCCTTCGACATAAATCGTCTTGTCATATCGATAGTAATATGACTTCGTTAAAACGGATTTAACCCTTGTTCGAATTTCTTGACTTGTAGGATTCGAACGCACTAAAGGCAATTTTAAGTCTTCGTTATTAATTTATTTAAAAACTAATACAAAGAAATACCATATATTTTGCAAAACAGAAAGAATTAATATAATTACTAGGGTTTGATCCCAGGAACCTTCGTGTCTCGAAGTCCTGGGAACGTCTATGAATTTAATTATGTCGGGTCGCGAGACTTAGGGGTCGTGACTCGAGACGATTGTTGGAATTGTATTCTAAAAATTAAAAAAGGTCTATAATCTATATGTTTAAAAACCAAATGCGATTGACTCAACGGATTTGGTTATTTATTTACTTTGTTATTTTCGTAATTTCCAGGATGAAGTTTGCCTAACAAATAAAGCATATAACAAAAACTTTTTTCATAGAGGATATTGGGAAATACGATGGAAATGTTAAGTGTACATTTAATTTATGTATGGATTTTCATAAGAAGGAAAGCCTTATGATATATTTCAATGTTTAAGATATAAAGTTTCATTACGTGAAAAAACCCCACTTAAGAGTTCTGCTGACATTTATTTGTGTGAATGTGAGGGTGTTAGTGGGTCCCTGAAATGTTTAGATTCCAGCTTAGACCTGGCAAGTGACACTGTAAAGGACTTCTAACTTCATTTATTTTACTAAAATAATTTTGTATGTATTTTAGTGGGTGGTTTAGGTTTCCTTTTTTCCGATGTTTTCCCATAGTTTTTTTTGTTTTAAGATGTTTCTGGACCTTTGAACATGAGAACATATGTTTTGTTTGTATTGTGGGTTTGATTTTATATTCAATTATAGTTCTATTGTAATTTTACTTGTATTTTTCTAGATACATTTCATTTTATAAATATTTTTTTTATGAAGTCCCATAATGTTACGGATTTGGTAATAGGTTTTCTCCTGTCCCGGGACCTGAGACTGCTGGGATTTCCCAAACCCTGCTAATTATACTCGATAATTGTCTGAGAACTTGTTATTAAATTATATTTAGTCTACAATAATTCAATGTTAACATCTTATTTCAAATTGGTAATTCAGAACAATGAATGATTATTATTCTGACTTAAACTGAAATATACCTTAAAACTTTTCTTCCACTTTTTGCCTTTTTGTAAATGTAATTTCTGTTCAAATTTCTAAGTAGGTACAACAAAATTCTGTTGAATTAAGTGGAGGTTGCTATACTGAAACTGAAGCGATGAAGAGCTCTTGCCAATAGCAGTGATATTGACCTCGGCCGCGACACGAAACTTCATCTTCAAAGAACGGCCTTCGTGTAAATGTTCTCAAGGGTTATACGTCCTAAAATACTTAACGACTTAATTTATAAGCAATACAATTTTTCTAATTTCGTAGGCAATTTGTATGATTCTGTTTTTACAAATGTCGGTTAAAAAAGGTTGCAGTTATAAAATAATAATATCAAAAGCTATTTAGATAAAATGAGTTGTGTACGGTTGGATGGAATATTCAACATTTTTATTGCTAAGTTTAAGAAAATGTTTTTGGGTGTAAGTGATAATATAACAGCTACTGGTTGTCACAATAAAGTTTGTTAAAAAATGAAATGTTTAAAAAAATCATAAGATTATTTTAGTAGATTATATTATAATTTAGTCTAGTTAACGTAACGTAACTCTGTGAAATCTAATAATGAATAATGCAATAAAACATGAAAAATTAT